GGCATTCTCTCTGTTCTAGATGTTGGCGTCGCGACAGAAACTGGGACGACGACATGGCTCTCAGTGGCGGCTGTCGTTTGGCTTTTGGTATGGTTCCTTCTCGATTGTATCTGCTTGTGATAAGTCAGCATTTCTGCATGGGAAGCTAGAGGTGGTCTTGTAAATATCAGCCGTGTGGTTTTCCCTTCACCACGGCAACGGTCTAGCTTCTCCTTGTTTCTCAACTTTTGCCATGTCTCCAATTTGAAACCCCGAGATGAGTTTCAGTTGTGTCGTCATTCCTCGGATAGACAAAACGGTGAATTCATACCAGCCCCGCCGTACACAGGGTATGATTTTCTCCCATTACAGGGCTGAAATTTGAGTCTGAGGTTTTATCAAAGTCTGAAGCAAGGCCATGTAAAGAATAGAGAATGCTCCATTTGAGGAGTTCATATGTTGATTTGATTACCTGATAGAATACACGATGACTGTGCATCTTTACTATGGCATCCAAAACAGTCACTGCAGTATACGACGATCAATTTTGGGATCGTGCAAGCTTTCAGCGGCATGTTATACTGTCACGACGTTTAACAGGGCTTGAGGCATTTGAGACTGGCCGTTGAGGTCAATCGTGAAGATAACAACATAATAGGACAGCAAAGATAACCATGAGGATGTGGCTCAGGCGTGATATTTACTGGCCCATATCATATCGCTCACCAATTCCGCAGCTGATCGGGACCGTGGCCAGTTTACGACCGAATCTTGCGGCACTCTGCTTCCTTGTCGGCGCCCTACACAACAGCATAAGCGATACGAACGGATAGGCAAGCTAATTTTTTTAGGAGATGCCATTCCGATTTCTGCGACAACAAGAAGCAACTTCTGACAGCTGAATAAAGACAACACTCATCAACATTCTCATCAAAATCACCACCTGCGAACATTAATAGTTTAGTTGCCACCCCTTTTTATTCGGCTTTAGCAGAGCGTAAGCAAGAGAAGTTCCTTTGCGCAGCCGCGACTCATATTTATCCACAACAGATCAGAGCAGCGTCGATCTCCGCGGCTGCGCCGCGTTAGGTTTGATAGAACAACGGAACCGGCGACATGGACCAGCATGTCAAAACACAGGTAGATGTAGTGGTAGCGCTTCTTAACCATAACAATGTTTTCATTTCAGCTGTGTTGGAATGCCGTGACAGAAAAATGGCGGGAGCACTTTCGCTATTGTGTCATTTGAAGCAATAACTCAAGTACCGTTAGCATGCTATCATAATGTGGTAAACACTTCACGTTCAAGCTACTGAGTAAAGTTTTGTACCATGAGGCTACTGCGTAGACACCATATAAACAGGAAGTTTGATTACGTCCGCTCCAATTTACATTCTCACTACGTTAATCTCAGAATATACAACCATGGCCAGCCATGATTCACAAGATTCACAAGGCTACCACATCACAGATTGCCTACAGGCGGCTTTGACATCGCTCGAAGAGGAGGTAACGAGAGTGAATTCGAGCTCCGTGCAGTTAGAAAGCGAGATACAAAGACTACAGAGCGAGCGACACAAGCAAAACATACTCATATCATTGCAATCCCAATACATTGCCCTTCTGGAGGAGAGACTCAATTTCGAAGAATCCACGGGGCCTCTCATTGAGGTCAGCAGTATCAGAAACGGGACCAATGATGATGACAAGATTCGCACTTAGAACAGCACAATAGAAACATTGATCCTCCTTGAACCCTTTCTTAGCCCCAAGTTTTCAATGCTTCCTGACATTAAATCTCCCTCAGCAACATCCTCAGGCTCGTCGACGGATGTGATCTCGGCATTCTCACCATTTCTAAGGAAAAGATTCACGAGGATACTGGGCTCAATGCCGTCCGACCCGTCGTTTAGAATTGTCTCTGTCAACTTAGGTCTCGGCAATCTGGTTCCTAGGCTTCTCAACCTTGCTCTTCCCCGACTCTGCCTCTGCTATTGCCACCGCTTCGTCGGCCTTCTTGGCTCCCACATCAGCCTTCTGTACCTTCGTATTGCATCGTACTTTTTCTTGTGCTTCTGGTTCTGCTGCTAGGCGCCTTCGCGGTTCTCTTGGCATCTCACCCAGAGGTCAAGTCGTTGTGCTTTCCGGGACTTGGAGGCTGTGTCGTACTGTTTGATCTTTCGCAGCCTGGCAACCTCCCGAAAATTATCAGCAGTGATATGATTGCTTTTTCAAGGCTTGTGCAGCACCAATGTGCGTGGCGGGATGTATGCACAACTACAAAATTGTGAAGTGGTAGATGTACGTACACTACTGGACACGTTCAGACATGCCCTCCCGCACCCCTGTCAGGTGAAATTGGCGACTACATGTGCTTCATCCTCTTTCCATTGTTTACAACTCTACCCCTTTCATCAGAGCCACTGTGTCTCCGCCGAGTTACCACGGGGAGTATCTTGTATCCAGTTACATTCTCTGTTTCCATGTCAATAAACCCTCAATCGGGCCCGTATTGTCATGTCAACAACACCGCCGAACAAGATTCGGAGGCGCCTGGGCTCGCCCTACAGACTTTACGAGTTCGGAAAACAGGGACGGCACGTAGCAGACAACACGTCTCTTCGGCGATTGTCAGATCATTACAAATTGTGGCCGAAATCCAACTGACGTAATTGCAGAAGAACAGGTATCAAACTACACGATAATGGCGAACGCGACGAGCATGGAATGCAGCCAATGGATGGCCTTTTCTCTTCGCCAGAGACTAACGACGAACTTCTCGATGACGACACAAAGCCGGATGAGCAGGACATGGGAGTGCCAGGTAAGTTATCTTGACTACTCGGGATGTTGAGCTCCTGCTAATGTGGTGTATCTGGAAGGCTCCGAATCTGGAATACCAAACCAAGACTCCCGGTCTCTAAGCTCTTCTGATCTCACGCGCGACGTGTTTTCCATTGGGGACACGTCCATGCTCGTGTCGACGCCTGGTCCATTACCAAAGAACCGAAACACAATACAGCAGACTACCGAAGAACGACGAATGTTGTCATCAGCAAACACAAAATCAAAACGGCCGACTGACAGGCGTAGCATCAGACTACAGCACCAGGGCAAAGGTCCAGATTCAAACCAAAATGGCTCGCTCGGTGACAATAAATCAAGCAAGGTGGGCCGCCATCCGACCTCGCAGGCTTGTAGTCAGTGATGACACCCCTTCTTTCTCGTTTGTTTGGAGAACTCTAGACTTTACGTACTTGATACTTATGGGTGACCCATCAAGAGTACTGTCGTCGACGAAGAGCACGCTGCAAAGTAATAATGCTTGCAGACGGCGAGGATCAATGCGTGAACTGTATGAGGTTGAAGAGAGAGTGATGTCTTTCCCATCGGCAAGTCGGCGCAGCTACAGACAATCGTTCCGCCCTCTAAAGCACCTTCACGGGCTTCTTCTGAACCGAAGACCGCTTCCCCTTCATCTTGCTCTGTCTTGGCTGTATAGCAGTCTTTTTACGTGCCCCAACACCATCTGGACGGCGCCTGTCTCATGTATCCAAGAACTGGTATGGCATCACCTCCGAGATAGCCGTATACACTTCGAACTTCCGACCCTCTGCCACAAGCATTGTCGCTCGTCCGAGCTCGTCCAATTTGCTAACAAGCAAGACTTATTGCTCTTCAGTGGTGTCTCGTCTTCATGGAACCAGACATTGTCTTTCCATACGCTGTTCCGGTTATACTCTTCGAGCTTCTCTGTCTGTCAGTAGTAGCAACGTGGGTCTCACTACTGCTGACGACACAAAATACTCGTCGTCTGCGCACGGCAGTAACATGGTCTCCTCAAGCGACAGGTTGCTGTCGCCTCAGAACGCCAAAATACCGCAGCAGGGTCAACGAAATGGGGCAATGTAGTCCAATATCTCGAGTTTCATAATTCCAACACGAGTTTCCGCAAAAGTCTCTAGTCTCGGCTCTCAAAGCGTTTCGCTTTTGATGACCCTAATGGAGGTAACGATCGCGGCCACATCAGGACAATGTCATTCTATCTTTCGAGGCGCCCTGACAATAGTGAGGAAAGAGATATTTTAATAAGCGGTCTACAATCACAGTTCGCATCGTGTTCATCCTTATCCGCCTTTTTCTTAACCGGCAACATCCTAGCCAGAATGCCATATGGCTTTGCTAGGGGCCAGAAGCATTTTGTGGCGAAATCGCTGTCATATCGCGCTCCTTGTTCTGAACCTTTCGACCATATGGGCCAGTATTCTCTGCTATTTCCACTTGACCCTTCGACGTTCCGATCTCCCTAGACGATCAACCGCCCCTTAGCGTCGAAAGGACGAGACTCTCCCATTCCAGCTTGCACAAGACCTCCCGGTATCCGCCCACGTTGGCAGCAGATTCCAGAGTTACCGACTCATCCTCGACACAGGCGTCGGCGCCCGCCCTCGATCGCTGGCTGATGGCTTACAGTGTGCTGACGCTCGTCGAAGCATGCGGTGACGGGACGTGCCCGTGACTGCTTGTCTGAGCAGTCGTTCATACGCGTTGGAGAGCCAACTCTGGTTCTTGTAAGCTTTATAGCATGCGCTGCGAACAAGAAGATTCTTCGCCAGTTGTCAAAAGATAAGCAGCAAAATATCAAGCCATTATGCCATTTCTCCGGAAGACTTTGATTCTACGCTGAAAACTCAGAACTTCTATGGCTACGGTCAACAGTGGCGAGAGGCGCGCCGCCGAATGCAGCACTACTTCCCTGACGCGCTGCCATCGGTCGCCAAAAGCATTTTTCGAGGGCAGAGTCGACAGATGTCGATACGCTATTTGGCGCGGCTGTACCATCTACCGTATCCGATCCTCCTGAGGCACATGCTACTTGCGCCAGCGGATGAGTATTTGCATTGATAGTAATGCCCTCGTTCACATGGACTGATCACTTATCTCCGCAACTTTCACTTCGTGCACTTCAGAGTTCACCGATTCCCTTGTTTATTATCCACGAGAGACAATTCATCGACAATTTGCTTGAAGCCGCAGATAAGCAAAGTACAAAAGGGACTCGCCTCAATGAATATGGGCCGATCTATCTGGCTTGGTCTGAGCTTTTCGGGAGTCTGGGCAATGTTGGCACCCGCGACGATCAGGCTACCGGCTTTCACTGCATTTAAGACCCAACCAAAGGCTTTAAAGCTCGATAAACAGATTAGATTAATTATCAGAAAAGCGTGTCCGCATCGCGCTCGCTTTTGAGGGAACACATCGCTATTTTTTCGAGTGGATCCCGAGCCTGGACTATGCACCACCACCGATCCTTTGATCAACCTGCGTTTCCTCACAGTTTGTGCACATGATCTTCGAAAGTGGGTAGCCGAAGAGAACCACGATTTGACCCTCACCTGTATGCTATGATCAATGCCGCCGTGCCCAAATCAGCCGTCGGCGAAGGACTTTTGATCATGCCGCGAGCTCCCGCGGAGAAATATTGAACGCCCTGCAGGCGAGGACGGCCGATAGTGTGCTGGTGCCTCACAAGTCTCTTCACACAGGAAAAAATGCCTGGTTGGCCCTCAATAAACCTGCTCACGTGCTGGTTCCCGAAAACAGGAAGTTCTAAGGACTCATCAGTTATGGAATTGCTTTGCCAAGTTTTTTGTGTCAGCAACGACTGTATACATGTTGCATTTGAAGTTGACCGACGAGGCTTTCACAAGCTTTGATACACCGGTGCTTCCTCAGAAACAAAATGATTGCCTGCCCACTCGCTGGATTACGACGAGATACTACTCAGGTCTGCGAACTTGCCCGAGTTTGATTAAAAATACCATTTCTTCGATATTGATTGTCATACCTGTTTGCCCGAGCGTCCAAGGGGACTTACAGCAAAAACGTTCTCCCATCTCCCGCTGGCAGCCTGTCCGTCCCAGTCGCCGCCGCTGTACAAGGGTAAACGTAGTTTGCCTGTGCAATGTTCATCAACGAAGCGGCAAACCTTTTGCATGTCGGC